TTGCCCTTCCACAAGCTCCACCCCTGGAGCCGCTCACTTCCATGCTCTTGCGGTCCCTTCTGGTGCTCTGTAACCCTACAAGCCCTGCCACCCAAGTGCTCTCTTTTCTGCTCTTGCCCCATCCCTCTCAAGCTTTGCCCCCCACACAAAATCCCGCACCTGGGCCGTTAACTTACTCACTGTTGCCCCACCCCTCTCATGCATGCTCTGCTCCACAAAAACCCCACCCCTGCACCACTCACTTCCTGCTCCTGCCTCACCCCTGCAGTGCTCCGCTCCTCCTCCTAGCCTGTAGCTGCAACTACTTCCTTCTGAAAACTTGAAGCCCTGAGGAAGTGTCCCAACGCCTCAGCTCCGAGACAGACTGGCCTCTGTGTGGTCCTGCTCCAAACTTCAGTGCCCCGAGCCCCAGAGCAGTCTCGTCCCAGCTCTCACTGAATTCTCAGCGTCAGCTCAGGCCAGCCATCAGGGCCAGCCATGATCTGCTGGGTGCCAGAAAGGAGATGAGGCCCCAGAGGAGCCACGGGGTCAATAGGGAGGTAGAGGCTGCCAGCAGAGGCAGGAACATTGTAATGGGTTGTGTTCCCAAAATTCATGTATGGACACTCTCATCACCCGGTACCTGTGAATGTGACCTTACATGGAAATGGACTCTTGGCAGATCAACTCCAGTTCCTGTTGTTACTGTGTCCCTAAAAGGGGAAAACTGGGTCCCAGAAATGCACCCAGGGATGATCTTCTGTAGAGATGTCACTCTGCTCTCACAGGTATAGAAGCTGAGAGAAGACCTAGAACTCACTGCCTTGTACCTCCTGAGGGAATGTGTCCCAGAAGACAGGGATTCCATGCTGCTGGACTTCAGAGCTGTGAACACAGATCTCTAAACCACCCAGTCTGCAGTGGTGTGTCAGAGCAGCACTAGCGAAATAGCACATAAATGTGCTGCTCTTTCCATGATATATATATATATTTGGAGTCAGTCGTTGACCCTGAACTCTGGGCCTGAGAGCTGAGCTCTTCAGCTCAAGGCTAGCACTTTACCTCGTGAGCCACAGCGCCACTTCCAGCTTTTTCTGCTTATGTAGTGCTGAGGAATTGAGCCCAGGGCCTCATGCATGCAAGGCAAGTACTCTACCACTGAGCCACTTTCCTAGCCCTCTACACTCTTCTCCTCCTCTTGCCTGGAGATGCCCCTGGGGTATCTAGGGTTGCCACGGACCGGCTCTGTCAGGACGACGGAGGACACCTAGTGGAGGAACTGGAATAGGTGGGGAGATGGCAAACAGACACTCACACACAAGAGGAGTGGATGCTGAGTGCGATTTAATGCAGAGGATAACAAGCTTTTATAGCAAAAGTCTCCATGAGAAAGGGCAAAAGGTTACACAATCTTGCTGCAAGGCTTCGTTCCTGGGTGGTCACCAGCTGGTCGCCTGATCTTGTTTTTTGGATGACGAACTATGACGATAGGCACTTGTTTTCGGCTTTACCTCTATTTTTAAGAAATACAATTGGTTTCTATGTTTATCACCTATTAACCATTAACCAGAGCATATGGGCAAGGTGCTGAACAGAAAGGCATGAACTCTAGTACTTCATAGTTACTTTTGTTTAGTTTTATACTTTATACGTTTTAAATCTTTTCTAAGCAATTGTGCTTCTTTGCCATTCTTTAGAGGGTCCCCCATTTGTGGCCAAAAATCATGATATTCGGTATACTTAGTTAAATCTGGCCATATATCAAATTTAAGCTCATAGTGTCTTTTCTGTAACCCTTTCACATAATTGTTTACTCTTCTCCATAGAGGCCTTAACTGTCTCATAAGATCTTTCTTGTTCCTTCTTTAATAGTAAGCACTAAGGAGGCCTAGAGCTAGCAAGTCTCTCAGTAAATGAAAGAGAGTAATAGGAAGTTCTTTCTCCTAAGTAGTTTCCCTAACCGTTGCCATCCTTATCATACACACCTGTAAAAGGCTATGGATCTGGGGGAAGTCTCTGGGGTCCTCTAGAAAATGGAGGATCCCACCATTTTCCTCTGATAAGCCATTGCCACCTTCCATTTACCAACCTTTTAGGAATCTTATTTAGCTTTTGGTCTAAATATCCTTCTACATCTTTTTTATCTACAGGATATCTATATGAGTCTATTGTATATGCTTTAGGATTAAAGGGAAGTCTCCAATAGCCATCCACTCTTTCTGCTCTAGCCGTGACTACAGCTTCTTGTAAATCTCTTACAAACAATTCCTTCTGCTGAAGTGACATCATGAAACCCCCAATACTTTTATATTTACTTATAACTTGTCTAATAGCCTCCATAAGAGGGGCTTTCAGGGTAGCACTTAACTCTGGTGAGTTAGTCATATTCTCAGGACACTCATCAGATGTTGGAGTCATCAACACTTTCAAGAAAGAGCCTTGAATAAGGGAACGTTGAGCATGAGTAAGTACAACAAGCAGCAGGAACAGTAAAAGATTAATAGGCGCTCCTATACAATGAAGAAAAGAAAAACAGCAACATATCTTTCCCAGCGGCTTGCCAGCCTTTTCCAGGAATTAGGCCTCTTTGAAGCCCCATTCTCAGATCTGAAAGCAGGTGTTCCATGCTAAGCAGACTCCACCGGAGTAGGCGTGGCATAGGGTGGTGCTTGTTTGCTTCCCTCTGTAGCTGCCAACACTCAAACAGCCATATTACCCAGCAGTCCTGGGTACTGCAGCCCTGGAATCCATTCCTGGATTGGTTTATCATTTCAGGCCAGGAGGCTTCTGTGCAGAGGGCCCTCCTCAGCTCCGAACCCCAGATAGCAATGAGCTACACCTCAAGGCCACACAAAAAGCCACCCTCCGGAGCTTGACCCTCTTGTGGATGAGACCTCTGAGCTCTGGCAGAGAGTAGGCAGCCAGGGTATCTGTCGTGGCTACATGTGACCCCAAGGTGCTTGGTTCTTACAGGGACTGTTACCTGATAAGAACAGGATAGGGTCCTGCCAGGTAGTGACTTACTTAAGGAAGGGCAATGGAGGACCTGCACACAATCAGAAGCCCCTGGCAGTATTTACAGGTTGTACAAAGCCATCAGAGTCATGAATGGTTCTCAACCAGGGAGGTTTGCTCCACAGTTGATACTGGCAATTTAGATAGACATGGCTGCTCTTCAGGCATGGTCAGGCACTGCTGACACCTAGTGGTCAGAGTTGGGAATGCAGGGAAACACCCTGCCCTGGCCAGCACAATCCAGGACAGCACATAAAGAACTCATAAATTGTGTTAATTTTATAACCACCAATGTGTGCTAAACTGTATTAAATCTACCTATTGTGGTTGTGGCATTTCTACTAGTTATCTTAATCTTCCAGTCTCATGTCCTTCCTCTCTGCTACTCTCAATCTACTTTAATACTCTTGAACACATTTTACTGCCTCCCCACAAGCATACAAATTTCTATAACTCGATATCTGAAAAGTCATATGATCTGAAATTATTCTTCACCTACTAATTAGTATGGAATGACTGTTCATCCTTATTCAATATCATGAAAATTGCCTATTTTCACGTTTTATCTTCTCTTTACCTCATTCTAACCCTATCAGCCTGACTTTTTACCACACTTAATGATTATAATAGTTCACCTAATCTATCCCAACAACCCTTAACCTTAAAATACTTTTCAAGCTGGTGCTGGTGGCTCACATCTGTAATCCTAGCTACTCAGGAGGCTGAGATCTGAGGATTGTGGTTCAAAGCCAGCCCAGGCAGGAAAATCCATGAGACTCATCTCCAATAAACCACCAGAAAACCGGAAGTGGCATTGTAGCTCAAGCCTTGAGATGAAGAGCTGAGAGACAGCACTCAGGCCCAGAGTTCAAGCCCCATGAAAGAAAAAAAGTTTTTATATATATACTTTTCAATACTAATTCTATTTCAGGTCCTAGTTGTTATTATAATACATCCATGGTATTCATTTCATTTTCTGTTTTATTTGAAGCAACCCTAAATCCGACTCTGACAATCAGTTCCCCAGAATGGAGTCAGACAGAACCACTTCACCTGTGCACGTTCTCAGCTTCAGGATGTAGCCCATAGGACATGGTCTCTGCACATCTTCTGCACCCCGGGTCTTGAGGAGAGGAGGGCCGTGCACACGTGCCTAGCATGTCCTCCGGTGGGAAGCAGCACCCACTGCACCCCAGGCCCCCAGGAGGACAGAACCCATGCCTAGAGCAATGCCTGGGGGGAATCAGGGCAAACAGCACCCGGGGGTCCTGAGGACAGTGCACACACCTAGACCGCCCTCTGGTGGGAATCAGTGCTCATTGCACTATGGAACCTGAGGAGAGGCAGATGATATGCATGCCTAGAGCACCCCCTGGTGGGAATCAGTGCTCACTGCACCCAGGGACCTGGGGATTGGAGCATGGTGTGCAGGTGCCTAGCAACCCCCTGGTGGGAATCAGTACTCACTGCACCCCAGGTCCTGAGGGAAGACGGTGCGTGCACATAGAGCACCCTCTGGTGGGTGTCAACACTCACTACACCTCTGAGGAGGGCAAGGTGTCAGAGCTACCCTAGGGAAATAACACATAAATGTTCTGCTCTTTCCACACGCTCTCCAGACCACAGTGCCTCCCCCAAGGTCGCCCAACAAGGTTTTGTGGAAAGCAGGGCCCTTCACAGGCCATAGCCATGGCCAGGTGGTCACTTGCGTCTGGCATCCCTGTCCTCAGCTCTCCACCTCCTGGGACCAGTGGGGAAATCAGAACAAGAAACAGAGGTAGGGGCTGGGAAGGTGGCTCAGTGGTAGAGTGCTTGCCTTGCATGCATGAGGCCCTGGGTTCGATTCCTCAGCACCACATAAGCAAAAAGAAAAAAGCTGGAAGTGGCGCTGTGGCTCAAATGGTAGAGCGCTAGCCTTGAGCTGAAGAGCTGAGGGACAGCGCCCAGGCCCAGAGTTTACACCCCACGACCAACAAAAAAAAGAAAGAAAGAAAGAAAGAAACAGAGGTATGACGTCTGGAGCTGGTGAGCCTCTACGCTGCTGATGCTGGATCGCAGGATCCCAGCGCTTGGATCATCTGCACTTAGAACAGCCAAGATGTCCCTTGTAAACTCAGTGGGGAAAGTGACTCAGGAAGGTTCATGAAGAGGCTGTTCCAGCTGGTCATGGTGTCTCGCCTGTGTCCACCGAGCCCAGGCTGGCCCTTTACAGGGGGAGGATGGAACAAGCTGTATATCTACACCCTTCTTCTCAGAGAGGCCTGGGGCAAAACCACAAGGGGGAAAAGGACAAAAGAGGCTGGGTGTCAGGATGCTGAGGGCAGGGACCCTCCCCACAGGGCTGAGGACTGACGAGGGGCCCTGCTCCATCCACATGAGGGCCTCGGACCAGTGTGGAGCGACCCTTCTCAGGAGGCCCAGGCCCAGCAACAGTCAGCAACAGGTGCTTTCATCCACTTTTCTCAATGTGCACATGAAGCAACTGGATAAAGTCAGAGTTCTGGAATTTTCAGGACAGCCTGCTGCTGGCCCAGAATGGGAGAGAGCCAAATGCCCTGTGGGTCCTCAAACAGTGCACACCTCTGACTGTGGCCAGCTTCCTTACAGGCAGCCCTTTGCTGGGTTTCTGGGGTCTGCTGGACATAGGAAAGGCCACGGGCCAAGTCTGGGATGGACTCAGCATTTTGCATGTTTCTGGGGAACACAGAGGCATGGCACCCACCACAGCAGCCCAAGGCACAGTAGTCGCTGCTCCCCTCTGACTCTGGGGGAGCCAGCCTGGTGGGAGGCAGGCAGAGCCAGTCCTCCTGGGGGAGGTAGCCCGACGGCTGTCCCCCCTCTGCCTGCAACACACCCCCTGGGCTGCCTTCCTCCTCATTGAGGCCTGAGAGGGTCCAAGCGTGTCCTGGGCCACAGGTTAGCAGTGTGATGGCCTCCCAGGTTCCTGGAGAGCTGTTAGCACAGTCCTGGCCTGGCTGCAGACAGACTCTGTCGGCCCCTGCCCAGGTCTGAAACACAACACAGGTCAGAGGTAAGGACGCAGGCAGCATGTTCAGGACTCACTCTGAAACAGCAGCCTGGGCTTCTCTGGGAAGCTCTTCTGATACTCCAGTGTTCAAGTATTGCCAACATCAAGAATACTCCATATCCTCAAAATATGTGATCATGGCCTCAGTCTGGGAGCCTGAGTCCCTTTGGGTCTACCTCTTCTCTCCAGCCCCAGCTCAGTAGTCTGGACCTTGCTCAGTACAAATGGTTACAGGCACCAAAGACAAGGCAGACCCGTGACAGAGGGGACCTTCCAGCAACAGCCATAGACAGTGGAAACCTATTCTGAACCCCACTATACACACAGACAAGGAAACAAAATCTGGATCCTTCTGTGGGGGCACACAACGCCCCACTGCAAACGCCACCAAACGTTCTTCACACACCACCCCCTCCGTCACGCCCTGCTCCTGAGAGGTGATCCACACAGAACCAGACCACCAAGGGTCTGGGGCACCCCGGCAGGCTCTGTGCTCCTGCAGGGAGAGGATGGGGCCTTTAAACAGGACCACACCGTCCAGGGCATCGCAGTCCGACCCTCACCTATCTAGCTTCTTCATAGGCACTTCTGCCACCTGGCGAGCAGGGATGGACTTTGTCCAGAGCTAGGACCCTAAAGAGTTAAAGGGTGTGTGTACACAACAGTCCTCCAAAAGAGGCTTTGCTCAGAGAAGACGTGGATTTGTCAGCTGGAGACACAGCTGCCCACGGGGTAGAGGCCAGCCCTGCAGCACCAGAAGGGAGGGCATGGGAAAGAACAGGGCCAGTGGGCCACAACCCTTGGGAGGAGCTTGAGTTTACTCCAGGAGATTCCCTCCACCAGGACTATGAGCTACAAAAGTCTGCATCAGTGGTCAGGGCGACACTCCAGGGTGCTCTTGCTTGCCTGTAGCCTATGGGAGCCACACCAGCCTGGAGAAACAGAGTCCATACATGGGCATGGTGTCAGCAAGCTACCCTGAAGACCAGTGGGTTCAGGTGCTTCATAGTAGCCACCAGAGAAGGAGCCCAGGTACTGCCAGCACAGGTGCCAAAGACACCGTGGAGGAGGGAGTACACAGAGAGGTAAAATGCGTCTGTACCTTGAACTACCAGCCATTTTCCTCAATGGCAGATAATTCAGGAAAAAGTTTACAGTTTTCCATTGCGATTGGGAGGCAGAGCTCAGCAAGAGGGGAAGTTACTAAGACTCCAGCTTGGGGTTGCAGGCAGGGTTCAGGTGGTTGAGTGCCAGCCAGAGCAAAGCCATCAGATACCAAGTTCAAGTCCCCACCTCAGAGAAAAAGACAAGAACAAAGTAGGCATGATGGTTCCATGTCTATAAACTCTACCTATTCAATAGGCATAGCTAGGAAAACCATGGTCTGAGACTGGCCTGGGAAAAAGCATGAGACTTTATCTGAAAAACAGCTAAAACAAAAGGATAGCTTCAGAGGTAAAGTGCCTGCCTAGCAAGTGTAAGGCTCTGAGTTCAAACCGCAGGACCACCCTTCCACATGAAACAAAAAAAAATGCACATGTGACGCTGAGCACCAGCAGCGGCAAGCATCCATAATCCCGGCTGCTCAGGAGGCTGAGACTAGAAAAGCCAAGCCAGGTGGACCACTTCACAAGATTCCATCTCCAACATAAAGAATAAACACCTGGACCAGAGGCAAAGGAAACAGCATCAGCCAGGCAAACAAACTAGAACAAGCATGAGGCCCTAAGTTCATAACGCTGGTATCAGCCAAAGCAGGGGAAATGCATGTATGAAAGCAGAATAAATAAAACACCTCTTTCAATGTGAAAAAAGGACAAACAAGAAAAAACAACTGAGATGATCCAAATATATTATGTATAGAGAAATACCACACCCTGTTGTGCACATTTTCAATCATTAAGAGTAAAACCATGAAAATTAGAAAGAATGGAACCCAAGATCCAAGAACAAAGAGAAATCACTTATAGCCAGTAGCTCATGCTTATAATCCTAGCTACTCAGGGGCTGGGACCTAAGAATCATGATTTGAGGCTAGACCATGCAGGGAAGCCCATGAAACTCTGATCTCCAATTAGCCACAAAAACACAGGAAGTACAGTTGTGGCCCAAATGGTAGAGCACTAAGCCTTGAGGACATAAAGGCCCAGGCGATTGACCACACCCTGAATTCAAGGCCCAGGACCCACATCTGGACCCACACTCTCACACACAAGTGAAAAATTCAGCTGAGTTTTCACCCACTTGAGACAGCATTTAAAGTCCTTATATCCTCACATAGGTACACATATCACACACATATGCACACATGTATGAATGTGTGTGCACACAGATATTAGCGCTGACAAGGGCCCCCCCACTTCATCCACGCCAGGCCGCCCAGGACCCCCCACAGACCCCTGCAGCGCCCTGCACACACCTGGAAATTCCCATTGTGCACACTGTAGAGGGGCTGGAAGAAGACGGCGGGAGAGGGCACATTCTGGTAGAAGGTTCTCTTCACCCTGAGACCAGAAGAGACAGGTCAGAGCCTAGAGGTACTCAGAAGGGCTCCGCCAATACCACACTGAGAAGCCAGTGGTCAGCACTGGGTGCCAGCCTGCTTTCTCCAGCTGCTGCCCCGCCTCTCCCCTGCCGCATCCAGACCTGCCTTCCCAGGGCTGGGCACTGCGCGGCCTCACCTGTAGCCCCCACTACTCTGGAGGCTGAGGCCAGAGCATGGTTTGAGCCTCAAAGTTCAAAACCAGCCTTGGCAATAGAACAACAACAAGGGAATGAAATACCCTGTGGCTACACCTACTCCAGGGCAGGAAGCCGGTTGGCACGCATGGGTGCCCAGCTAATGCCCCCACAGACGGAGTCATACCAAGGCATCTTTCTTGTTTACAGTGCCCTTCCTGTGGTGCTCTACCCCTGGAGCCACCTCCTCAGCCCTTTATGTTTTAGTTTTGATTCTCTGGTAGAATGCCCTCCTTTTGCCCAGCTGGCCTCAGACAGCCCTCCTCCTACCGCCGTGCACCACATGGCTGGGCTGCAGTGCACAGGTCACTCCTGGCTTGATTTTTACATGGGATCTTGTAACTTTTTTTGCTCTGATGGGCCCCGAACCTCGATCCTCCATTTCTACCTCGCATGCAGCTGGGCTTACAGGCGTGTACCGTCATGTTCCTTACAGACACAGCTTCAATGCTAGGCTAAGACCTGGAAGTGAGCAAATCTGTACTCTGCCCTCGGAAAGAGCAGCAGCCCAGGAACTGCATCTGTGCCAGCCACAGAGGAGCCTGCAGCCCTCACTCTCAAGGCTTCCCGAGCCCCAGAACCTCCCGCCCAGCCCAGGGCTAGCCACAGGGTTGCTGTGCAGGCCAAGTCCACCCTCACCACACAGCCTCCTCCTCCTGCCCACCAGGCCCCCCGCCAGTGCACACTCACCACACAGCCTCCTCCTCCTGCCCACCAGACCCCCGCTAGTGCACACTCAGCACACAGCCTCCTCCTCCTGCCCACCAGACCCCACCAGTGCACACACCACACAGCCTCCTCCTCCTGCCCACCAGACCCCGCCAGTCCACACTCAGCACACAGCCTCCTCCTCCTGCCACCAGACCCCACCAGTCCACACTCAGCACACAGCCTCCTCCTCCTGCCCACCAGGCCCTGCCAGTGCACACTCACCACACAGCCTCCTCCTCCTGCCCACCAGACCCCGCCAGTGCACACTCACCACACAGCCTCCTCCTCCCGCCCACCAGGCCCCACCAGTGCACACTCACCACACAGCCTCCTCCTGCCCACCAGACCCCCCGCCAGTACACACTCACCACACAGCCTCCTCCTCCCACCCACCAGGCCCTGCCAGTGCACACTCAGCACACAGCCTCCTCCTCCTGCCCACCAGACCCCGCCAGTGCACACTCACCACACAGCCTCCTCCTGCCCACCAGACCCCGCCAGTGCACACACCACACAGCCTCCTCCTCCCGCCCACCAGACCCCGCCAGTGCACACACCACACAGCCTCCTCCTCCTGCCCACCAGGCCCCGCCAGTGCACACTCACCACACAGCCTCCTCCTCCCGCCCACCAGACCCCGCCAGTGCACACACCACACAGCCTCCTCCTCCTGCCCACCAGACCCCGCCAGTGCACACTCACCACACAGCCTCCTCCTCCTGCCCACCAGACCCCGCCAGTGCACACTCACCACACAGCCTCCTCCTCCCGCCCACCAGGCCCCACCAGTGCACACTCACCACACAGCCTCCTCCTGCCCACCAGACCCCGCCAGTACACACTCACCACACAGCCTCCTCCTCCTGCCCACCAGACCCCGCCAGTGCACACTCACCACACAGCCTCCTCCTCCTGCCCACCAGACCCCGCCAGTGCACACTCACCACACAGCCTCCTCCTCCCGCCCACCAGACCCTGCCAGTGCACACTCACCACACAGCCTCCTCCTGCCCACCAGGCCCCGCCAGTCCACACTCACCACACAGCCTCCTCCTCCTGCCCACCAGACCCCGCCAGTGCACACTCAGCACACAGCCTCCTCCTCCTGCCCACCAGACCCCGCCAGTGCACACTCACCACACAGCCTCCTCCTCCTGCCCACCAGACCCCGCCAGTGCACACTCACCACACAGCCTCCTCCTCCTGCCCACCAGACCCCGCCAGTACACACTCACCACACAGCCTCCTCCTCCCGCCTACCAGACCCCCCGCCAGTGCACACTCAGCACACAGCCTCCTCCTCCTGCCCACCAGACCCCGCCAGTACACACTCACCACACAGCCTCCTCCTCCTGCCCACCAGACCCCGCCAGTGCACACTCAATACACAGCCTCCTCCTCCTGCCCACCAGACCCTGCCAGTGCACACTCACCACACAGCCTCCTCCTGCCCACCAGACCCCGCCAGTGCACACTCAGCACACAGCCTCCTCCTGCCCACCAGACCCCGCCAGTGCACACTCACCACACAGCCTCCTCCTCCTGCCTACCAGACCCCGCCAGTGCACACTCACCACACAGCCTCCTCCTCCTGCCCACCAGACCCTGCCAGTGCACACTCACCACACAGCCTCCTCCTGCCCACCAGGCCCTGCCAGTGCACACTCACCACACAGCCTCCTCCTCCTGCCCACCAGACCCCGCCAGTACACACTCACCACACAGCCTCCTCCTCCCGCCTACCAGACCCCCCGCCAGTGCACACTCACCACACAGCCTCCTCCTCCTGCCCACCAGACCCCGCCAGTGCACACTCACCACACAGCCTCCTCCTGCCCACCAGACCCCGCCAGTGCACACTCACCACACAGCCTCCTCCTCCTGCCCACCAGACCCCGCCAGTGCACACTCACCACACAGCCTCCTCCTCCCGCCCACCAGGCCCTGCCAGTGCACACTCAGCACACAGCCTCCTCCTCCTGCCCACCAGACCCCGCCAGTACACACTCACCACACAGCCTCCTCCTCCTGCCCACCAGACCCCGCCAGTGCACACTCACCACACAGCCTCCTCCTCCTGCCCACAAGACCCCGCCAGTCCACACTCACCACACAGCCTCCTCCTGCCCACCAGACCCCGCCAGAGCACACTCACCACACAGCCTCCTCCTCCTGCCCACCAGACCCCGCCAGTGCACACTCACCACACAGCCTCCTCCTGCCCACCAGACCCCGCCAGAGCACACTCACCACACAGCCTCCTCCTCCTGCCCACCAGACCCCGCCAGTGCACACTCACCACACAGCCTCCTCCTGCCCACCAGACCCCGCCAGAGCACACTCAGCACACAGCCTCCTCCTCCCGCCCACCAGGTCCCGCCAGTCCACACTCACCACACAGCCTCCTCCTGCCCACCAGACCCCGCCAGTCCACACTCACACTGAGGACAGTGCCCAGGCCCTGAGTTCAAGCTCCAGGACTGGCAAAAAAAATGCCCCTTGTGCTGTCCTTGTAAGTCAAAGTTCATATGAGGTGTGGAGCCTATCTGAGGAGGAACCTATCCCCTTGCTTTCTGAGAGTTCTCCCAGGGCTACTAACAGGATCCTGTACCCCAGGGGTCTCCAGTGGCACCGAGTCCCATGTGTGACAGATGAGAACTCAGAACACATCCCTAAAGGCACCAAACAAGGACTCAGATGCCAGGCACACAGCACGTGGCATTGTCACAGCTCCCTTAGTCTTCTCTCCCCTGGCAACTTGGGAATCCCACTGGAAAGCCCTCCTCATCCAGGGTCAGTGAAGGGCAGGAGGAAGCTTCCAGACCCCAGTCACTGTGCACCTGTATGAGTACAAGACCCCCGCTCACTCGCAGAGCCGCCCACAGAGCAACACAAGCATGCAACAGTCAACTCGGGGAGACACACACTGGCTACCTACCGGGGAGACAGCCTGAGGAGAAGGCAGGTCAGGCCAGTCAACAGGAGACAGACAGACACAGCAACAAGGGTGCAGTGCAGCCACCTCCAGGGGCTCCGGGGTCCTGTGGGCAGAAGACTGGAGAGCTCTGCAAAGTGTCGGTGGCAGAACCTCTTCCCATGACCACATGTAAGAGGGACCCCAGCAGGTCCCTGAGTCAGAGTAGAAAGCATGCAACTCCACCACGGATGCTTGTGTTGTACCCTGGGAGCCCCTGAGGGGCGCCTCCCGCTGGGCCTCCTCGCGCTGGGCCTCCTCGCTCTGAGCCTCCTCGCGCTGGACCTCACCTTGCTCTGGACCTCACCTTGCTCTGGACCTCACCTTGCTCTGGACCTCACCTCGCTCTGGACCTCACCTCGCTCTGGATCTCACCTCGCTCTGGACCTCACCTTGCTCTGGATCACACCTTGCTCTGGATCACACCTTGCTCTGGATCACACCTTGCTCTGGGACTCCTCCATCTTGCTCTGGGACTCCTCCATCTTGCTCTGGGCCTCCTTGCTCTGGACCTCACCTTGCTCAGGACCTCACCTTGTTCTGGGCCTCCTCACTCTGGGCCTCCTTGCTCTGGACCTCACCTTGCTCTGGACCTCACCTTGCTCTGGGCCTCCTCACTCTGGGCCTCCTCGCTCTGGGCCTCCTCGCTCTGGGCCTCACCTTGCTCTGGGCTTCACCTTGCTCTGGACCTCCGCACTCTGGGCCTCCTCACTCTGGGCCTCCTCACTCTGGGCCTCCTCGCGCTGGACCTCACCTCGCTCTGGACCTCACCTCACTCTGGGCCTCCTCGCTCTGGGCCTCCTCGCTCTGGGCCTCACCTTGCTCTGGGCTTCACCTTGCTCTGGACCTCACCTTGCTCTGGACCTCACCTTGCTCTGGACCTCACCTCACTCTGGGCCTCCTTGCTCTGGACCTCACCTCGCTCTGGACCTCACCTCGCTCTGGACCTCACCTTGCTCTGGACCTCACCTCGCTCTGGACCTCACCTTGCTCTGGGCCTCCTCGCTCTGGGCCTCCTTGCTCTGGGCCTCACCTTGCTCTGGGTTTCACCTTGCTCTGGGCCTCCTCACTCTGGGCCTCCTCGCTCTGGGCCTCACCTTGTTCTGGACCTCACCTCGCTCTGGACCTCACCTCGCTCTGGACCTCACCTCGCTCTGGACCTCACCTCGCTCTGGACCTCACCTTGCTCTGGGCCTCCTCGCTCTGGACCTCACCTTGCTCTGGGCCTCCTCACTCTTGGCCTCCTTGCTCTGGGCCTCCTCACTCTGGACCTTGCCCAGCTCTGCACCTCGCCCCTCTCATTGGCCCCTCCCTCACTGCTAGGCACAGGGTCAGCCCAATCCTCATGAAGGAGACTTCTGTCCAGCCTGTGGTGACCTCAACCCTAATGAGAGCCATTAGTCACAAGAGCCTAGGGAGCCAAGGTGTCGTCTCCCCCTATGAAACTCAGACTCCAGGGGAGGTGGCTCCAGAATGGTGTCAGGGAGGACAGAGATGCACATGGGTGTGGACAGGATAGAGAGCAGAGATGCACGTGGGTGGGGACAGGATAGAGAGCAGAGATGCACGTGGGTGGGGACAGGGAGGACAGAGATGCACATGGGTGGGGACAGGGAGGAGGACAGAGATGCACATGGGTGGGGACAGGATAGAGAGCAGAGATGCACATGGGTGGGGACAGGATAGAGAGCAGAGATGCACATGGGTGGGGACAGGATAGAGAGCAGAGATGCACGTGGGTGTGGACAGGGAGGAGGGCAGAGATGAACGTGGGTGTGGACAGAATAGCAGAGATGCACATGGGTGTGGACAAAATAGCAGAGATGCACATGGGTGTGGACAGGGAGGGGGGCAGGGATGGATGTGGGTGGGTAGGGAGGGGGGCAGGGATGGATGTGGGTGGGTAGGGAGGGGGGCAGGGATGGATGTGGGTGGGTAGGGAGGGGGGCAGGGATGGATGTGGGTGGGGATGGGGAGGGGGGCAGGGATGGATGTGGGTGGGGATGGGGAGGGGGGCAGGGATGGACGTGGGTGGGGATGGGGAGGGGGGCAGGGATGGATGTGGGTGGGTAGGGAGGGGGGCAGGGATGGATGTGGGTGGGGATGGGGAGGGGGGCAGGGATGGATGTGGGTGGGGATGTTGAGGGGGGCAGGGATGGACGTGGGTGGGGATGGGGAGGGGGCAGGGATGGACGTGGGTGGAGATGGGGAGGGGGGCAGGGATGGACGTGGGTGGGTAGGGAGGGGGGGAGGGATGGACGTGGGTGGGGATGGGGAGGGGGGCAGGGATGGATGTGGGTGGGTAGGGAGGGGGGCAGGGATGGATGTGGGTGGGGATGGGGAGGGGGGCAGGGATGGACGTGGGTGGGGATGTTGAGGGGGGCAGGGATGGACGTGGGTGGGGATGGGGAGGGGGGCAGGGATGGACGTGGGTGGGTAGGGAGGGGGGCAGGGATGGACGTGGGTGGGTAGGGAGGGGGGCAGGGATGGATGTGGGTGGGGATGGGGAGGGGGGCAGGGATGGACGTGGGTGGGTAGGGAGGGGGGCAGGAATGGACGTGGGTGGGTAGGGAGGGGGGCAGGGATGGATGTGGGTGGGGATGGGGAGGGGGGGCAGGGATGGATGTGAGTGGGGATGGGGAGGGGGGCAGGGATGGATGTGGGTGGGGATGGGGAGGGGGGCAGGGATGGATGTGGGTGGGGATGGGGAGGGGGGCAGGGATGGACGTGGGTGGGTAGGGAGGGGGCAGGGATGGACGTGGGTGGAGATGGGGAGGGGGGCAGGGATGGACGTGGGTGGGTAGGGAGGGGGGGAGGGATGGACGTGGGTGGGTAGGGAGGGGGGCAGGGATGGACGTGGGTGGGTAGGGAGGGGGGCAGGGATGGACGTGGGTGGGTAGGGAGGGGGGCAGGGATGGATGTGGGTGGGGATGGGGAGGGGGGCAGGGATGGATGTGGGTGGGTAGGGAGGGGGGCAGGATGGATGTGGGTGGGGATGGGGAGGGGGGCAGGGATGGATGTGGGTGGGGATGGGGAGGGGGGCAGGGATGGACGTGGATGGGGAAGTTGAGGGGGGCAGGGATGGACGTGGGTGGGAATGGGAAGGGGGGCAGGGATGGACGTGGGTGGGTAGGAAGGGGGGCAGGGATGGACGTGGGTGGGTAGGGAGGGGGGCAGGGATGGACGTGGATGGGTAGGGAGGGTGGCAGGGATGGACCTGGGTGGGAATGGGGAGGGGGGCAGGGATGGACCTGGGTGGGGACAGGGAGGAGGGCAGGGATGAACAGTGGGACCCAGGCTCAGCCCAGTCTGTGGCAGGCTGCTGCCCTTGACACCCACCCTGCTCCTGGGGAGAGGGGAAGCACACAGGCTGGCTCCATTCACTCCACTGGCTCCACAGAGGCTCCTCCGCTACCACCTCAGCATCCAGGACAGCCATCTGGACGCGCAGTCTAGCCTCATAAGTGGAGCCGGGGCTCAGCTCCACGGCTTCGAGGATGAGCCGGGTCACACCCACAATGCGGTCCTTGTACCGGGCCTGCTGCAGGGTTGGGGAGTCGGCTTGTTGTGGGGATGTAAGAATGTTCTCACATGCACACTTGGACGGGGACGCACCATCTCCACGCACAGATGCACACTTCCACACACATCCCACCCATGAGTGCATGTGCACAGAGGCTCCGCGACCCCTCCTCCTGCCAGAGAGGGGCCCGCCGGGGGAAGGCAGCCAGGGTTACCTCCCAGGCCTCTCCCCGCCGTCTGAAAGCCAGCTCATAGCTGAGAAGTGCACTCATCGGCTCCAGGACAGGACTCACGCTCCAGGAAAGGACGCAATAGCCAGAGCTGACGTTGCTCCGCAGATCAGAAGGAGGGTCCAGTTTAACTGAAACAAGGCAAGGCCCAGCAAGGCTGCAGCTGTGTGCTTGGGTCAGATAACCCAAACTCGGGGAGCTGGAAATGGCCGGGAGTCCAAGGTACAAGGTCAAAGTCACCTTAGACCATAGGCCTCACTGAAAGGCAGGTCAGGGAAGGCCTCGTGGAGAAGAGGTGACAATGATTCCCGCTGGGCCTCTGCAAAAAGGTGCTTTCTAAACCTCCGCTTCCCTGCCTTCGTGATCTAGAGTTGGGAGTTCTTGCTGCTGCCTTGCTGGAGCCCTTACTAAAACTGAAGCGTGATTCAAATGACTCCTGTCCCACCTAGCCAAACATCTTCACTATGAAAACCCCAGCCTCCCAGTCACCACCCAGATCCCTCTTCCAGTCCTGGGTCTCCCGTGAGATCACAGACGTCACAGGCTAGGGGCCCTGACCCACCACCAAGCAAGCAAACAGCCCCTAGCGAAGTGGCCCTGCTCACTGTGTCTCCACGGGAGATACTGGCGGTCCACCAGGCTGACCTGCTCCTTCCCAGACAGGCGGCGGTGGAGAGTGATGGTGAAGTTGTCAGTTGGCAGGATCATCTCTTCGGGGGGCAGCTCCATGGTGCATGTGCTGCCCTGGAAAACGCACCTGTGCTCGCCGCCAGGGGCCTGGTTGCTGGAAAGGATTGGCACCGAGGGCACTGCTGCCGTGGGAGCCCTCCCTCTCCTGCCCTCCCTCCCGGGCCTGACCCTCTGTCCTTACCTGGTGAAGAGAAGCCAAGGACCAGAGTCCTGAGACAACTCCGGGCCAGACCATCGGCAGTCGATCCTGAGGATGCTGTCCGTGAGACAGGTGAGAGGCCCGGCCCTCAGCCCTGGGGAGGAGGAGCACAGGGGGTGGCCAGCGGGAGCCTGGAGCGCTGAGCGGGTGGGACACACCTGCCACTGAGCACTGACAGGGCCGTCTCCAAAGAACGGCCTCAGAAGTCGTCAGGGCCAGAGCTGGGAGGCCCGGGAGCGTGGCAAAGGTATGGAGCTAAAAGCCAAGAGGACCCTTGAGGACAGTCCCAGGACATTTGGGCCCATGCTTCTCCCCAAAGTTGGGCACCCACTCCCAGCTCCCCACCCAGCCACCTCACCCAGCCCCAGGGCCCCGCCCTCACCTCCTCTCTGCCGGGGGACAGAGACTCCCAGGCAGGTGTGGCAGCTGCACATACAGGTGCAGAGCAGGAGCCAGGTGCCCACGGATCGAATCGGGGACTCGCCCTCCACGGGCCAGCCTGTAAGGGCCTTGACTGAGAAGCTTGGCTTGCCCCTCCCCTTTGGAAAGGGCTTCTCATGAGGTCCCACTGCAGAGGCCCAAAATGGGGCACCACATGCACCCCACGAGATGCTGTGCGAGGGCTAGGCCATGCCCAGCCTCACCAACGAGAGCTGGAGCCCAGCGGCTCACTGTGCTTTCAGGACAGCTTCAGCAACTCCGACTCAGATCTGCTGTGTGTCCATGTGTGTCTAGAAGGCTTCTCTGACCCGACACCCTCTGCCATCCCATCCTCCATGCCAGAGCCCTTACCCATCCTGCAGAGGCCAGGCCCCAGTAACTGCGGACCGGCAGGGTGGCGGGTGCTGGGGCCTGTGCGGCTGTGGCTCCGCGGTTCACGGCGCAAACGTGGGTTTCCCGAGGAAGGGAGGCGTCTTGCCTGGGCTGGCAAGGCTGGCACCTGTGTGCTCCATCCCTCCTCACCACCTTACATGAATCTACCACAGGGCAGAGGAGGGTGAGGAGGGCAGCAGGCACTAGTGCAGCACACAGCCTTCCGCAGCCTGTTCCAAGGCAGCACCCCGAGACAGACAAGGCCTGAGCCCAGGGGTCCAGACACAAAATCTGGCTGCCAACCAGGACTGAGTGTCAGGAAGAGCCTGGCTTGTGGGGAGGCTGCTGGGGCCCTATCACCCCATTTGCAGCTTCAGATGGTTCGTGGATAGCCTGAGCAGGAAGCCAGGGCAGCGTAGTTATACAAGCCTGATGAGTGATAAGGAGGAGGGAGGAAGCAGACCTGCAGACAGACCTCAGCACACAGCGCTGCAGGAACCTGCACCTCTCCAGCAGGGACACCTCAGTGCCGTCCTTCCCCACAGCCTGTCTCTGCGCCTGTAGGATGGAGCTGTCAGGGCCTCGTCCATGGGAAGGAGCAGGCATCTGACAGCAGCAGCAGCAGCAATGTCAGGGGGAATACACCAGGCACTTTTTTTTTTTAAATTGGGGTCCGGTCGTGGGGCCTGAACTCTGGGCCTGGACGCTGTCCCTCAGCTCTTCAGCTCAAGGCTAGTGCCCTACCACTTGAGCCACAGCGCCACTTCCGGCTTTTTTTCTTTTTTTGCTTATGTGGTGCTGGGGAATCAAACCCAGGGCCTCATGCATGCGAGGCAAGCGCTCTACCACTGAGCCACCTTCCCAGACCCTCTCCAGGCACTTTCTATCCCCTCTTGCAGCAACTCCTGGAAAGGTGGTAACAGGACTGGTGGACCACTGTCGGGACAGATGAGCCCATGTCCTGCAGAACCCATTGGCTCATCAGACGCTGCCCAGTCAGGAGCTGGCTCAGACCTCAGGGCAGCCCTGCATCCTTGGAAAGGCTCCTGTGCATAACATCAACTCAGAGTGATCAAAGACCTGAAACTTTGAAATTACTGCAAGAGAGTGTAGGAGAAACACTAGAACTCATAGGCATAGGCAGAAGCTTTGAAGAGTCCCAGGGACACAGCGTTTAAGAGTGACTTGGCCAACTGGATTACAGCAAAGCAAAATTGCTTTTTCCATAGCAGAGGACACAGTTACTAAACTAGAAAGACAGCCAACAGACATGAGAAGAGATTTACCAGCAACACATCTGACAAAGGCCTAATATCCAAAATATACAAGGAGCTCAAAATTTTAACCCCCCTCCAAAAAATCCCTAATAAACCAATTGATAAATGGGCAAAGAAGCTAAGAGGAGACTTCTCAGAAGATGAGGTAAGAATGACAAAAAATATATGAGGAAATGCTCATCAAAGAAATATATAAGGAAGCCAGGCACTGGTGGCTCATGCCTGTAATCCTAGCTACTCAGGAAACTGAGATCTGAGGATCGCAGTTCAAAGCCAGCCCTGGAAGGAAAGACTGTGAGACTCCTATCTCCAATAAACCACCAGAAAACCGGAAGTGGTGCAGTAGCTCAAGTGGTAGAGTGCTCACCTTGAGCTGAAGAGCTGAGGGACAATGCCCACACCCAGAGTTCAAGCCCCATGACTGACCAAAATAAAGTAAAAGTATATATATATATATATATATATATATATATGGAAATGGCCATTAAGGAAGTGCAAATCAAAAACAAGTCTGAGATTCCATCTTACCCAGTCAGATTGGCCAACACTGTGAATTCAAGCAACAACAAACGTTGGTGGGGATGGAGGGCAAAGGAACCCTACAGCATTGCTGGTGGGAAGGTAAACTAGTACAACCACTCTGGACAGCAGTCTGGAGGTTCCTCAAAACAGTAAAGATAGAGTTTCCCTAGGACCCAGCCAGACCACTGCTGGGCCTCTACCCAGAACCTCACAAGCCAGGATACCATAAAGACATTGCTGCACTATTAATAATAGCCATGTTGTGGAAACAGCCCAGAGGCCCTACAATAGATGAAAACTGTGGTACCTATACACACAATGGGACCTTACACAGCCATGAGAAGGAATATTGTCATTTGCCGGGAAATGGATGGACCTAGAACAAATCATGTTAAGGGAGTTAAGCCCAGTTTTCTCTTGATCAAATATTTACTGGAACATAGTAGATTATGCAGGGATCAAGAGGTTCACACACAATGAGACCAAAGGAGGGTATTCTTAGGGTGGAGCACAAGGGCACAATGCCTATGTGCTTATCCGAGAGCATAAAATAATAGTTATTGAAATGAACACCAGGAAATGGAAACAAGAGTGGTTTTTGTTGTGGTTTCTGTTTTTTGGGGGGGTCTTTGTTTATCTGTCTTTGGGAGGGCAAGGGGAGAACAGAAGTGGAGGGACAAAGGGTGAACACTGCAGCGGTGGTACTCACTAGACACGATGTTGAAAACGCACTGTGCAACTGCGTGCAGGAATGGGAGGGAAAACTATTGGAGGGAGTGAGGGAAGGGGAGCCACTGTTCAAAAAGAAATGTACTCGTTACCTGACTGGTGTGCCTAGTCCCTCCCCTCTGTGTACCACCCATAACAACTTTTAAAAAGGCACCTGCACAGAATCGGCCCAGCCTGGCTTCCACCAACCCAAGCTCAGAGCAGTGAGTGGCTCCCACGTCAGCAGGTCCCCCTTTGTAGACAGAGACGGAGGGCTCTCCAAGGGGAGCGCTCTGAGGGTGCCCCGGAGTTGGGCACTGCCAGTGCAGCAGTCTTCACACAGGACACCACCACCTATACCAGTAAACTGAGTGGGGTGGGTCAGGCCTAGGGAGACCAGGGACTTGCTCAACAATTGGAACCTGGCACCTCTTCTCGCTAGGTGTCCCATAATCTCTCACAGAGCCTACGAGCTTCCTGAGAGAAGTGTTTGACTCCTATCAGCACACAGCCCCAAGACCCACACACACACCCACATGTAGGTAGGGTGAAGCCTTGGGCAGAACCTAAACCACCCTATTTCCAGTGGCACTGCAGATCTCTGTCTTTGCGGGCTCCTTGGACACTGAATGGGACATTACTGAAGCAAGGCTCCTCGCTCTGGCTGGCAGACTGGTGCTCAGAGTAAGTGCAGAGAGCTCACTAGTCCCAGGAGAGGCACTGACTTGGGCCCACAATAGCCAACACTACATACAAGGCAGAAGAAAGCCATGTCTGTCATCTTGGAATGAAGCTGCTTCCTGTCAGCTGCACCAGTCCTGCGGAGGAGCCTGGCCAGCATTGCTCTCCCGTCAGTTCTGAAGATGCAGCCCTCAGCCCAGACTCTCTAGCCCCTTCCCAGAGTCCCATCCTCTTCATGGCCAAAGCTTAGGTCTGAATCAGATAACCCATCTGCCCTGCTTGGGCCACCATGAAAACGTGAGTTCCATGCACGCATCTACACTCCTGTCTTCAACTCAGGCTCCATCACCCCCGGGGAGGCCTCTACGTGGACTCTGTTCCTTTCTTCCTTGGTCATGGCAAGCGGCTGGTATGAGGGTTGGTCAGGTGGCTCTGAGCTCCCTTGGTGTCTTGTACCACCTGCCCAAGTCAGTGTCACTGGGAGCTAGCCACTGCATTCACGAACCCTCTTCCTCTCCCTCTCTCTCTCTCTCCCTCTCTCCCTCTCCCCCCCCCCCTCACACACACACACACACACACCTCATTCCTCACCAGTCCCAGGAGTGAGCCACAGCCCAGACCCACTTTGCATCTCAATGTGGGAAGGGGACTTCACACAGAGGAGATAGATGAAGACTGCTAACTACATGAACCCCTGACCAGCAGTTTTCTCTCTGCTAGAGATGGAGGAAGAAATGCAGCCCCTGGCTCTGCAGAAATAACCAGAGCCCATGACATGCGAAAGATGTACTAGAAAATAAGAGCAAGAGCAGGGACCTGCAACCCCTTTGGGCCACACAGGGGGTGGGGCCTCCTCTGCCCCAGGCTGATGCCGCACATTGCTGAAAATAGCACACCTAAGGATGCTGTTTCCTCTGGCAACGCTGGCGGAGGTGAAGCCAGCAGAGCCAGAAGGACAGGACAGACCATCTCAGTGAGGACAGAGGCAAAAGAGGAAGGGGCAGGGAAGGCCTAGAAGAAGAGGCCGCCCCCAAGAGTATATTCCCACATACTTTGGGGTGAGGGGCACTTCTAGGAGTAATAGCTGTGAGCATATCAGGTGAGGCTTGGACACAGAAGTGTGGGTGGACAAGGCCACAGACTCAGGCAGAGAGAAGAGGTTGAGGACAGAGGTCCCAGGAACAAGAAAGGCATCGTGATAGCAAAGTGGCCCAGGGAACCCTTCTGTAGAACTGCACACAAGTGTGCCTCCTGACGAGGTGTGACTCAGAGCCCAGGCCCCAGCCCGTCCCATCTGTCCAGCTCGCGTTCCCAGCCTAGAGATCCCCCAGCCCCGGGCACAGCTAGAGCCAGGCCAGGTTAGCACTGGACTCGACAGGAATGCTGAGGTGACGGTGGGCATGCTCCGGTACAGCTGTTGGCCGGTTCTTTTGGTGGGAGGAAATGTGGCACCAGGATGGACATCCCGCCCAGCACACCCCTCAGCAGCCTAGCAGCTCACGTGTGGCCCACTGCGAGCAAAGCTCCTAGCTGTACTGTGTGTGGTAAAACTGCTAAGGACTTGTGCTGCATCTCTTGGACCCACTCAACTCCATAACCACTGCCTCCTCCACCTCCTAGCATCAACACTGGGTATGAACAATGCCTTGTCACTCAGAGGGAGATATAACCAGAGGTCATCCTGGGAAAATTCCCACTCTACCTCCAGAGGCCAAGTTCTGGCCTAGAGTAAGGGCAGAACAGCAGTGTCCTAGGGAGAATGAGTAGGGACTGGTGCAGAGCCCCAGAAAAGGTGAGGGTTGCTTCAAATATAAACATTTAAAAGCAATGAAAAGGGGCTGGGAAGGTGGCTCAGTGGTAGAGTGC